TTGGTCTAGGCCAGTGGTTCTCAACCTTCCTAATGCCGCGACCCTTAATACAGTTCCTCATGTTGTGGTGACCCCCAATTTCATTGTTACAAATTGAACATAATTAAATCATAGTGATTAATCACAAAAACAATATGTAATTATATACGTGTTTTCCGATGGTCTTAGGCGACCCCTGTGAAAGGGTCGTTCGACCCCCAAAGGGGTCGCGACCCACAGTTGAGAACTGCTGGTCTACAGTGTCACCCAGCATGCAGTGGGCATTATTGTGAACAAGCAAGTTAAGGGCAAGATTCTTGCCAACAGAGTCAATGTACGTATTGAGCATATTAAGCATCTAAGAACTGAGATAGCTTCCTGAAACGTATGAAGGAAAATGATCAGAAAAAGAAGGAAGCCAAAGAGAAAGGTACCTGGGTTCAACTGAAGCATCAGCCTGCTCCACCCGGAGCAGCACACTCTGTGAGAACCAATGGGAAGGAGCCGGAGCTGCTGGAACCCATTCCCTATGAATGGATGGCATAAGTGGGGAAAAATAAAAAAGACTTCTGTGCCGATAAAAATGTTTCTCTTAATTGACTGGAAGTGTGGCGTCCCTTCTCCCCCAAAGAATAAAGAAAACTTTGTGTCCTAAAAGAAAAAGAAAAACATTTACAATATTTACAAATATCCAACCAGTGTCCAAATTTCAATACTTACAAAAAATTAAAATACTTACAAATATCCAACCAATGCCCAAATTTCCTCAGTCTCACTTTTTCTAGCTTGTTGCAGCTAGTTGGTAGATCTCTAAGTCTCTTGTAATTGCAGGTTTCCCCTTAGTCTCTCTCTCTCAATCTCTCCCTCTTTTTCTTCTTTTTCCTTGAGATTCATTTGTTGGAGAAACGGGTTGTTTTGTCCTGTAGACTTTCAGTTGGGATTTTGATGACTGGGTCAGGAAAGGTGGTGACACCTAGCCTAGGTATTTCCTATAATTTGGTGTATAAACCGAGAGAAATCGAACTGAATTCAGGTTCCCCTTTTT